ATCACGTGCTGGACAAGGAGGTGGAATGCAAGCACCTCGCCTTCCTGAAGCCGGAGGACATCAACCCGACCAAGTGGCGCGAGATCCATGCCAGGGTGGCGAAGAGATTCCCCACCAGCGATCCCGTCGAGATACCGGAGTCGGCACTGCTTCAGTGCAGCCGGTGCAAGAGCAGGCGCTGCACCTTCTACCAGCTGCAAACGAGGAGCGCCGACGAACCGTTGAGTACTGCGACTCCCTTAATCGAGAGTCTGTAGCCTCTTCTCGTGATCCATCACGAAGCGTCCACGTCTGACCCTCCTATCTACTCTCTCGCAGGATGACGTGTTTTTGTACGTGCCATTCTTGCGGACGTCGGTGGAAGACGTGATGTGAGGTGGGTCCCGCGTCTCTAGGTCGGTCCTATTTTCTGTCTCAGCTGTAGCTCACCCGATGGAGGCCGGTCCTGCCTTCGTTCCCGAAGCCGTGGAGGTAGACCCAGTCCAACCGTATCAGCAGATGATCTACGCACCGCTGACCGTCAACACCACCGATCTCAAAACGCCCTGGAGATTTGCACAAGACTTTCCCACCGGCGAAAAGTTGAAGGACGCGATCGACGAGATAACATCCCAGATAAGTTCTCTGTTCGAAGTCCACGAAGAGATCGCGCACAAGCTCGAGCTCGAAACCAAGCGCTTCGAAGACTTCCGGAGGGCGATACACGTCATCAAGAGCGCGGTGTCCGACCTGAGTCCTGGAGAGGAGGATTGGTCTGTCGAGCTGGAGGCGATCGAATCTGCGCTGGCGGTGGCTTTCGTAGAACGTATCAAGAGCGATGAGGAGGAGAGAGCAAAGATCAGCGAAAAACTGAACGCGTTCGATAGGTTGAGCTCCGGAATCAGAAAAGCTTGCGGATCGCATTCCTTCGAGTGTGCCGTCTGTCTTCACGAGCCCGTCAAGATCGTGTATAATTGCGGGCACTGCATCTGTCCGAGCTGCGACATGCGGAAGAGGTCTCATCTGTGTCACATCTGCGGGCAGCTCGTACAGAAGAAGATCGATCTCTTCCTATGACGTCGCCCTCGTCCCGAAGATGTGGTTTGCGCAAGGACTGGCGAACAAGGCCAACCAGATGAGCACGTTGCCGCTGACGTATCCAAAGGCGAAGTAGATGTTGGGTATGCCAGCTAGATACGAGGGCGTACCGGTCGAGATCCAAGTGGCCGCTGAGATCATAGGTACTAGAGTCGCGACCGTCAGCTTTTCGGATCGCCGGTCCGTGAGTCTCTGCAGCCCCAGAGCGCTATCCAGCCGACCGAAACGGAGAGCGACCACGTTGGCCAGGGAAACGACCGCGCCACAGTGCGCTGCGATCAGAGAAAAGGGTATGACATGATACTGCACCCAATCCAAATGGTTGGTCATTATAGAGACGTCGCTCCAAGCCACTATGTACAGAAGGGTCGCAAAGGTGACCTCCGCACATCTGAAAACCCCATGCGAATCCATTGACATCGTCGTAGCAAATACTTGCAAAGGTACGCGCCGCAGATCAGCTCTGGCCGAGCACGTCCCTGATGAACAGACCTCCTAAGGAAAAGAACAGGGAGTTTACGAAAAGATTTCCCAAGGGTTTCTTGATCATTCGAAGCACTACGGAAACGAAAGAGAACACGAGCGTGAAGGTGAAGAGGCGATCATAATGTATGACGTGTGCCGTATTGTAGTACTTTGCGATGTGTATGATGATGACGTAAACTAGGATTGCGACCAGAGTGTCGGCGCATCCTTTGAAGACTTGCGTCGTAAAGTCATCTCCTATCTTGACCCCCTTCTTCTTCTTCTCGGCGGGGCTCTCCCAGACCGTCTGATCGACGCTCTCTCCTTGCAACATGCTCCTTTGCAAGTAAGCTCACATAATTCTCGCTCGTTCAAAGCACGTGGGCTCTCCGAGCCCAGGTTCTGTGAATCCTCGCGCTATCCCCTACACTACATGTCGATCATGGTGCCTAATACCAGCGCAGGCAACGCCTACCCCTCTTGATGCATTGCCGCTTTCCCTTCACGGTCCTATACTTTCGGCAGACGCCGCGGTACTTCTTGCACCTCTTCTTGCTGCTCTTCCTCTTGGTCTTTCTCTTGCTCTTGCTCTTGGACGTTCTCTTTCCAGAAGTCTTCCTCCTTCCAGCGGTCTTTTTCTTTCCCTTCTTTGTTCCCTTCCTCGGCTTCCTCTGAGCCTTCTTCTCCTTCGACGCCTGCACCTTCTTGATGACCTTCAGCGCACTCTTATCGAGCTTCCTCTCCTTCTTCACGATCTTCCCGAATGCCTTGATCTGCTTGGCCTTGGCGGCCTTTCCGGTCGCGGACTTGATGGCCCTCTGAGCCGCTGCGCCCTTCTTGTGGACCGCCTTTAGTTTCTTGGTCAGGTTCCTGGCTTGCTTCTTCAGGGCCTTGGGTGCACCCTTAGCCTTGGCCGCACCACGGATGCCGGCGGTGATCTTGCAGCTCTTCTTGTGCGCTTTCTTCAGCTTGGCTACCTTTGCCAAGGGTGTAGTAGAACTCCACGTCATTGCGATCGACGGAGGATGAGGTTATAGCATAGAAGTAGAAAAAAAATTACGTTAGCCCCCGATCAGATGGTCGTGTACTCGGTGAGTTCCTCGTAAGCTTCGACGGTCGTCTCGGCCGCCTCCGAAGCACTCAATAGGAAGGTAATCCTAGGATATAACTGCCCGTACTTTACGTAGGAGTTCTTCGCTTTCTGTAACCTCAGACGGATCGCGTCCGTGAGGGACCGGGGTCGGATGAACGCAAAGTTTCCGTGCTTCCATGCCCAATCGGGCAACAATCGCAGCGCTTGAGAGGGTGGAACGACGTAATAGGCCCCGTTCACCTTTCGGAAACGATCTTTGGCGATGTTCGTGATGACGAAGACGACGAATTCTTGTTCGACTATGTACTCGAGCACGGCTTCCACCAACTCTTCGTCGGTATCTCCGCTAGCCTGCAGGATACAACCAGAGTCCCTACCCGGACCCGAAACGATCATGTTCTTACGATCCGCCGGGCCTGGCCGCTTAGAGAGACCCCACGGCCCCGCCGCCCCACCACCTCCGCGGCCTCCGTCAATTCCTACGTCGTAGTGGTCTTCTTCCACTTCTATCTCCCCGTTCTCCTCCGATCTCGTCGCGGCTTCCTCTCCGAGTCCCACCACAGGTACAGCAGGCCTGATCGGATCGGGTCGCGTGCCAGGATCGTCTGGAGTCAACCATCGAGCCAAGGAGGGAGGGTCATGGGCAGGGTCAGGAACCGCCGTCTGCGTGGGGAGGGGGTCAGGAACCGCCGTCTGCGGGGTGAAGCGGGTTAGGGAGTGGTGATTGCCGGGGGATCGGGTCGGGAACCGCCGACTGCTGGTTGAGGGGATTGGGAACCGCAGTCTGCGGGTTAAGCGGGTTCGGGAGTGGAGATTGCTGGGGGAGCGGGTCGGGAACCGCCGTCTGCTGGGGGAGGGGACCAGGAACTGCCGTCTGCGGGGTAAGCGGGTTCGTGAGTGGAGAGTGTTGGGGGAGCGGGTCGGGAACCGCCGACTGCTCGTGGGGAGGGGTGAGGGGTCGCGAGCCGGGATTCGCATCTTCATCGAAGGAGGGAGGATGCAACTCGTTCGCTACCCGTTCGCTTCTTCCATCGAATGTGCCAATCGGGCGTCCTAGATTCTCAAGAGAGCCGTGACGTTGATCATTCGTCGCCACTGATTGCGGTTCCCTAACGTTATTCTCGACATTAGAAGAATGTATAGAGGACACTCCATTGTCAGTCATGCCTTCCAAGATTTTCATCACAACGTCCACTCTCTTGTCACCCGGGCGAAGACCAAGGCAATAATGATTCTCTCCAATGATTACGATTTCGGCAGTGTTGTCGATCCTTATCTCTATCTCGTGATCCGTGGGATAGAAGATGTCGACCGGGTCAAGCCTTCCTCCGGGCGCGTGCTTCCACAGAAGAGTGTAGAAGTCATGGTCCTCACAGAAAAAAGTGATTGTGTCTTTTTCATCAACACCCCGTCGATATTGCCGAGAGTGGTAGCTGGACATGTAAGGCAGTTCATCACCATCCCCATCGAGAACTCCCGTTGATGCGAACATTCGAGCTCTATGGAGGACGTTTAAGAGACCATTTTTCGGGTCTGTCCCATCTGGATTGCATATCCACATGACGGAATCAACACCTTTACTATTCTGCACGCCTCTCTCCTCGCGTATCCGCTGGATGACGGCGTTCTGCTTTCGAAGCAGATCTCTTCCCGCGTCTGACGACATGCCTTCGATCCTTCCTGAGGGCACGTCGTCCCAACTCAGACCTCGTGATGCCGTCGTCTCTCGTGGGGGCGCCTGCTCCTTGATGTCTTCCCAAGAGACGCCTTTCGTCTCGGAGACCTCCGTGAAGAACGGTTTCGACCCGGCCGCTGGGACCATCGAGAACAGATCGAGCGGGACGTTGCTGCGCTTCACGGCGGAGTCCAATTCGAGCAGCACCCTCCAGAGGGAAGCATGTACCCTAGCGAGCGTCTGAGGATCTTGGGTACGAGAAGCGTGGTTCGCCGCCGCTTGCAGGTCCCTGTCCAGGCCCCTACGCAAGAGCCTCGGATTTTGACGAGCGATGACCTTGAACAAGTTGTATACTGCGGCGGTCATGTACATCACCCGCTCTCGTTTCACGGAGATAGGCACACGTGCGCTCCGAAGGGTCTCGCTCAATGCCAGCCGTTGGTTTCTGACCCAACTCTGGAAAGGATCTCCCTTCCCGATGCGACGTACGATCGCAGAATAACTGATGTTCGAAGCAGCCATGCCTTCCTTTACCTAAAGAAAGGAAAAGTGTCTGCGTTATATCCCACGTTCGTGGTCGAGCCATCGCCTAGGACGGCGGCTCTCAGGGGCTCCGATTGTTCTTCGGTCATCGCCAAAGCTTCCTGACCGCTCAGCATGATCGTCACCTTGGGATAGCGGTTCGTGTCCAACCTGGAGGCACTCTTACGCAAGCGCTCTCGTACGGCTGGGGTGAGCCCTCTCTTCCCCAGGAAGAGGAAGTTGCCGTGATCCCAGGCCCAGGTGGGTAAGTTCTTCCACTCACCCGGCCCGACCAGCTCGAAGATGGCCTTTGGTGTCGCCTTGAACTTGGTCTTCGGAAGGTCGGTGAAGACGTAGACTATGCCCTCTTGCCCCAGGATGTATTCGAAAGCGGCATCTACCATGTCGCGGACGGTGGTATTCGTGGATGTGTTTACCGTCAGGATCTCGCCCCTGTCGTAACC